TGGAAGGTTACTGGCTGAATGGACCGTCGTAATACCTCAGAACATGTGTCACTCACTGTGGCTAGCCCACACCCGCTGACACTCCAGTGTGTATTTCCACCGCTCCACAGCACACCTTAATGACGCTATATCTGATCCGGCACCTTTTGACTGCAGAGTTCAGTGAGAAAGGCAGGTTTGCTCATCAAGCTGAACTAACCTTGGTTGATTTGGGACTCTTGTTGATTGGAGGTAACACAATGTTTAATTAAGAGTCTAGAGCATTTGCCTTCACCATCCACACTCCCAGCTTCAGGGCTGCTGTGATAAAACACACAGACATATTGCAAATTAATTTCACAAGACTCTTGGGTGGATTCTTGGCCCATCAGTCACAGCAACACTTCTCCCGGGAGTGTGACTGGATTTCTAACCCTTCCACTTCCCAAAATGCTTTGAAATGGCCATTCTGTTTGTGTTCAATATCAGACTTTTTACTGGCACTCCAAGTTGGTATTTTGAAAGCAGAAGAGTAAAACAGAACACTGTGGAAAAGATACGTTAGTATCTGAGAGACCATGGTTCAAATCCCAGTTCTCCTGCTTAGAAATCATGTGACTGGGAGCCGGGGCTACACCTCAGAACCCTGGGCCTTTATCTTCTGTAACTCAGAGATCAACGCCTGTCTCATGGGATGCTTGAGAAGTTGAAATAACAGATTGTACTCAAAATGGGAGGATCAATACATTGTACTCTAGGGGAGGAAACTCCTGTTTCCTCTACTCTCTTAGGTTCAGTTTCTGAGGTCCTGCAAATTAAACTAACAAAAGATAGATTACAGGAGAAAAATGGTTTTTTCATATGCTTGCAGGAGTCCTTACGAAATGAAATAAAAACCCTAAAGGGAGCCGGGCACGGTGGCTCACACCTGCAATCCCAGCACTTTGGGAGGCTGAGGAGGGTAGATCATGAGGTCAGGAGTTCAAGACCAGCCTGGCCAAGATGGTGAAACCCCGCCTCTACTAAAAATACAAAAATTAGCCTGGCGTGGTGATGGGCACCTGTAATCCCAGCTACTCAGGAGGCTGAGACAGAAAATTGCTTGAACCCAGGAGGCGGAGGTCGCAGTGAGCCGAGATCATGCCACTGTACTGCAGCCTGGGCAACAGAGTGAGACTTCATCTCAAAAACAAACAAACAAAAAAATCCTAAAAGGGCCATCAGACTTGGGGACTTATACATCACTTTAACAAAAAGGTGAGAAATTTGTGGAGAAGTGACAAGACAAAGGAAAAGAGTTTTGAGCTTCTAGAGGCAGTATGATGTGGGAAGGAAATATATGGGGAAATCAATGGAAGCTAAGGCTTATTTTTGTGAGGTTTGTGTGCCCACTCAGCACCCACTTTCCATCTTCTTCATGGCCATAAAACTCTCCCCGGGAGAGAGAATTTCTCAGAAGTGTCTGTACATAGTCAGGTAGGAGACGCTCCAAGAAGGCTTGTTTCTGCCTCTGTTGATTCTCAGTGGCCTTCCACTCAAAATAATCCACGTGACCAAAGTCACTTATTAGGGGATAGTATATTTTGACTGGCATATTTTGATCCCCTTCAATATATAATTATTGTGGTCCTGTCATCACGTGACTTGCTCTTCTGCAAGGGTCATGGAAGAAACAGAGATTTATAAATAATTATCCGATAATAATCATGAGAAATGTAGTGAAATAATGACAACTTAATTTTACGGTAAAGTTTTGGATATCTAATGCAGTCTTTTAAAGATATAACTTTGAGGACTCACTCTATCATATGAAGAATATTGTCTGTCTTGCTTACTATTGGAGTACCAACATCTTTTCTTATTTTTATTATTATCACTATATTATGTTGGTGCAGAAGTAATTGAGGTTTTTGCCATACTTTAATTCTATCACTTATTTGTTAAACATTTATATAGCACTTGCTCCGTGCCAGACACTGTCCACTGCAGTCTATCAATGTACCATATTTTAATCCTCAGGACAGTCTTGGGTGAGGCACAGAGGGGTTTAGTAAGTTGCACAGCAGAGCCAGGAAGTAAACCTAAGCAGTCCTCCAACTCCAGGGTCTGTGCTTCTAACAAATATGCCATGAGCTCCACAAATGCTTTTTGACTGAGCGAAGGTTAAGTAACTTAGCCCAGATCACAATGGCCAACTCGAGATTCAAGTAAAGTCTGTCTGACCTTAAACCCAGGCTGCCTCCCTGTCCTAGACAGTCCCAGAGTGGCCCCGACTTGCAAAGGGGAGCATAAGGCCAGATAGTCTCAGTTTTACTGTCAGTTGAAGCCTAGCCAGTCTGAAGTGTTCCTTTATAAAACTCTCCAATTATCCAAACTATGGATGTTCCAAATATTGCATGAGATACACTAAGATATTATTCATTGCTATCAGAAATTCAAATTTAACTGGGTGTCCTATGTTTTGTACTTGTTAAATCCGACAACCTTAATCCAAACATATAGTTGACTTGGCCAATGACAAAGAATTAAAAAACCAGGGAGAAGTAAAAATGCATTTTTCTCCAAGAACAGTATCAGTAGGAATTGTAGTCTTTGAGTAATAAATCTTAGCATGTTGGCTGGGCGCAGCGGCTCATGCCTGTAAACCCAGCATTTTGGGAGGCTGAGGCGGGCGGGTCATCTGAGGTCAGGAGTTCGAGACCAGCCTGACCAACATGGAGAAACCCTGTCTCTACTAATAATACAAAAATTAGCCAGGCAAGGTGGCGCATGCCTGTAATCCCAGCTACTCGGGAGGTTAAGGCACGAGAACCGCTTGAACCCGGAAGGCTGAGGTTGCAGTGAGCCAAGATTGCACCATTGCACTCTAGCCTGGGCAACAAGAGCAAAACTCTGTCTCAAAGAAATAAAAATAAATAACTCTAAGAATGTTTACTCTTAGTAGATGGAAGAGGGTGGTTAACATAATGAAGCAGGAGTCAAAAAGAGAGAAATGTGTAGCTATTATATAAATGTAAATAATGGTTGTTCTACTATAAGGTTTTATCTTTTAATTCCATATTCCTCTGGTATGATGCTGAGTCCTGAAATAGATACAGAAGAAGAAGGGGAGAAAGAGGAGAAAAAAGAGAATGATAAGAGAATGAGAAAGAAATTAAGATTCCTAATATCTACCATATTCCAGAGATTGTAGTAAGCATATTTCATTGCCTCATTTAATCTTCACAAAAATACCTTCAACGTAGCTATGACTCTGTCCATTCTACACATGAAACTCAAAAGGGAAGATAATGTTTGCACAGTCGTTGAGGTGCCAGAGGAAAGAATCCTCCTTTAGCAGGAATTGCCTGCCCACCTCCATCCCCCATCACCCTTTGCTAGAGAGAACGCTAAGTCCTGGCTTCACCAGGTGCTCGCTGTCTCTCTCCTTGTCTCTCTCTCTCTCTCTCTCTCTCTCTTTCTCTCTCTCTCTCTTTCTCTCTCTCTCTCTCTCTCTCTCTCTCAGTGGAGAATTTAGCACAGCCAGCCTTGAGTGTGAATTAGCTGAGCATGTGTCTACATCTTCTAAGTTACTAAACAGCCCAAGGGAAGTAGCAGTGTCTACTCTGTCCCTGTGTCTCCAGCCTGAGCTTGATGCCTGGTATGTGTTGTGAGCGTAACAATGTGCCAGGCACTGGGCAAAATGCTCTGGATTCGTTATCTTAAATCCTCAAAAAGACCCTGTGAGAGTTCTCTTAACTGGTTTGCAGATAAGGAAACTTGATATTCAGAGAGTAAACAGACTTATGAGAATAGGCGAACTCCAAGAAAGCCCCAGCTTCTTGCTTCCTTGTAAGACCTGTCTCTGTGTGGGGTGGCACCTAGAACAAATGCCAGTCACATATCTATCAATAATTTAAAAACTATTTAACTGTTTCTGGGATCTTTTAAGAAAATTCCACAGGGGCTTCCCATTCCTAATGGACAGCAGAACTTCTCAACATGCAATTTACCCTGAGGATGCTCCCTTCCGGCAACATTTTTCTCCAACCCAAGCACAGATTCTCTTGACTTTTCTTCCCTCCCAATTCACCTTCCAGATAAATCCATCCCTCTATCAATGGTAAATTTCTCCTCTTTTCAAATCATATCTGTGCAGCCTGTATTTAAGTTGTCATTACATTAATACCTACACAGAAAGACTGTGCAGTTATCAAGTATGAATCAGACAGTGTTTTGTGTGGCATCTGGCACGCAGGAAGTGCTCAATAAATGTTAGCCGTTATTCAATTTAGTCTCAGCTTTGCAGCTGTAACTATCATGATGATTTTGCATGGCAAATGCAAAATGAAAATGGCTGGCACAGAGTGCTGCAGAGAAGGGAAGAGATTGTGAACACTCATATACTCCTATGATGATATATTTTCCTATTTATGAGAGGAAGTGATGCTGTATTTGAAGGATATTTCCCATCTCAACAGCCAGAAAACCCATGGAAGAAACATTAATGCTCCCTGCATATGTATGCATCTCCCTCTACATTCCCAGATTTCCTGCAGTCATACAGGGTCATGTAAGTAATTTTGGTATGGGCTGCAAGCAAAAGCAAATGTGTTGCTTCCCGCCAAAGCACTTAAGAGTTGGTGCATAATCCCACAGCTCTCTCCCTTCCAGTGCCACAGTGAATCAAAATCTAAGGAGGCTACAGTTGCCACATGGAGAACTACAGGATAGTGAAGCGCCATTAACTGGAGTCCCTGAGAGACTGTGTGGAGCAGAGTTCCCCACCAAAATGCAGTGAATACATACTGCAAACAAGAAATCAACTTTTGTTGTTAAGCTCATTAAATTGTTGAGTTAATTTGTTACCTTAGCTTCCTAACCTCTCCTAACCTAGTACAAAGCCTTTTTCAGATTGTGATTTTAATGATTCCTCAGGCACTGTTCTCAAGGGAAGGTCTGCATCAATGTGCTTAGTAATCTAGCCAGTTTCCTCCAAGTGCTTGCTTGCTTCATTCCAGGTGGGTCAGAGTATCACAGGCATGCTGGGCTTCCTGTCACGTGGTCCTCCAGTGAGGCTGTGCGTGGGCCTGGTGTGTGTCTTGTCCCTTTGGAACACAGGTGGGTCTGGCTGGAGTTCTGGAAGTGTCTGTATTGTATAATAAGTTTGAGTATCCACTGTGCTTTAGAGAACCTCATTAGCCAACATTTCTGCCCAGAATCCTAAATGAATTATTTGTTCAAAATGGCAAGAATAACTTCCCCATTTCTGTTTTTCCCTTGACTTTTTGCATTTGATTCCCATCTATGCAAAAGAATTCTCTTCACCTCCACTGTTGCGACCTTTGTCCAAAGCATTATTTTCCTTTACCCGGACCATGAGAGAGCTTTCCAAACCAGCTTCTCCTCTTGTCTCTCCATGACCCATTCACCACCAATCAGCCTGAGTGATCTTTTCATAAGTCTTGTGATTTCATCTTCCAAGTTCCTCCCTCTTTTCTCTCCCCCTGCCCCAAATTATTCACAGAATTCCTACTTCTCTCTGTGTAGTGTACCAGGTCCTTTTCAGGCTCTGCGTGACCCTGCCTCCCTCACCATCCCTGCTTCCTACCACCTTCACCTGCTTCATTCTTTATGCCCCCATCACTGTTGGCCTTCTTTCAATTCTTTAAAGTAATACTCATGCCTACCTCAGACACTGGGCTTGTGCTGTTCTCTATACATCAAATATTCCCCCAATCAGTTAAATCCTACTCAAATGCTATTCATTCTTCAGAGCTCAGCTCAATGTCCCCTCTCAGGGAAGGCTTCCAGATTCCTGGGACTAGATCAGCCCCCTGTTACATACCCTCACCATTCTCTTCAAGGTATTCAATGTTGTTTTCCTATGTGTCTGCCTTTCCAGCACACACAATGCCTAGCAAATACTCGGCATTCAATAGCATGATCCATCATCAGTAGTTGGTCAACAAATATTTGATGACTAAATGATTAAATGAATGAATAAACTAGATGTGGGACTACATGTCACTTCACAATCCCAGATCATAATTCTCTCATCTGTAAAATGGGTATGTTGAATCAAATTATCTCTAGTATTATGTCTTGGTTATAATTACTCTGATTAAACCTTTTTTACTTTAGTGTCTGGTATCAAAGGAGAAGCCAAGAAAGAGAAGGGAATGACCTTTTTACCTACAACAGGTAAGTGGGTAGTAAGGGCTCCTTTTCAGCTCACTGTTCTTGGACAAATTCCTTCACTTCCCCAAGCCTTACTTTCTCTACTGATAAGATAGCGATTGTATCCACATCTAACACTGTGACTAATATTCACAACAATGGTTCCTGTGAGCTGCTCATTTCTTTATGGTTCATTGAATCCTTGTGATCTTAATAAATCCACAAAGACTGTGGCATTCCATTGGTGATAGAAGATTTTATAATGGGAAGTATTTTTACTTGCCATAATCGCCTTTGTAATAATTTCATCTTTCTTTGGCTTTCCTTTTTGATGCTATGAAATTGACTTTGCAGTACAATGGTGAATACATTGCAACAGGAAGGACAAGAGGAGTCAGGGAAAACAGGTTTCTGTTTCTAAATTTTAATAAACAAGCAGGACAATTTTTGGTATGGTTTTGGTGGAAATTATGTTACTTTTTATTTTTATTCTCTCTTTTTTTTTTTTTTTTTTTTTTTGAGATGGGGTCTTACTCTGTCACCCAGATGGGAGTGAGGTGGCACAATCTCAACTGACTGCAACTTCCACCCGCCAGACTCAAGAGATTCTCCCACCTCAGCCTCCTGATAGTTAGGACCTCAGGCATGTACCACCACATCTGGATAGTATTTTGTACTTTTGGTGGAGACAGGGTTCCACCATATTACCCAGGCAGGTCTCTAACTCCTGAGCTCAAGGGATCCACTCACCTTAGCCTTCCAAAGTGCTGGGATTACAGGCATGAGCCACCAGGCCTGCACTATTTTTATATTCTCATTTATTTTTAATTAGTACATTCACGCAGTTCAAACAGCAAAAGGTACAAAAGTGTATAAAGTTAAATGCTCCCCCAGCTGACAGCTTCCCTTTCCTGATAGCACCAATTGTACCAATTTATTGTGTATAAGTAGGATAACTTTCCATAAATATTTTTCCTATTTGAGCCTCCAATTTTCTCCTCCTTAAATGGGAACTACAATTCTTGCCCCACAGGTAATCATGAAGGATAAAAGGTGATAAAATACTAAGCATGAAGAAGTACAAAAAGTGCTAGGAAACTTCTATTTTAAAGATATTATTATGGTGGTCTTTTTATCCAAAAATAGAAAAATATCTTTTTGTAATCTGTCAGGGTACTTATTTGAAAAATGCTCTGTATTACATCCTATTCAAAAATCTGTGCTCCACTGGTGTTTAGTTCAGACTTCAAATATTGTTATCAAAATCCACTCAAGGATTTGTAATTTTAAAAAGGAGTGGTAGAAATACTCTTTCCTTGGTGAAAGCAATGGTGCTAAAAAAAAAAAAAAAATGGTGCTCAGTGAGGAAGATGACACAGGGCCCCCCATTCTGGCTGGAAAGGTATAGGAATCCTGCCAGCCTCGTAGCCTGGGGCATCCCTGCTGCCTGGAGACTCAGAACTGACATAATCCTGGTCCCTCACCTGCATGGAGGACTCTGTTGCCTTGGCAGGTCACAAGCAAGGTTGATTGGTGCCTCCTGCAGATCTTATAGCAACTGGTGAAGAGTAGACTGCTTAGGTAAAGTGCCACGCAGGTGCCTGAGGGGTTGAAGTGGCCTCACCCAAGCTAGAGAGCTGACTAGTTGGCAGCATTTGCCCTGCTTGATTATATGTCTCAGACTTCCTTTCGTTGTGACATAAGCCCCTTGCCTCCAGTAGCCCTATTATGGGGAAGGGGGGTCAGAGTCCCCACCTACCTCTAACCCCAGAAGCTCTGTTATTTAACCAAAAAGCTTGACAATTGGTAAAAGGACAAATTGGCTTAAGCAGGCAAGGCAACAGTTGACTTGACTCAGTTTCAACATGGTATCCGAAAAGCAGAAGACAGCAACTTAAATGGCCACTGACGGATAAACAAAAAAAGGAAATGCGGTATATACATACAATGCAATATTATTTGGTCTTAAATAAGAAAACGCTGCCATATGCAATAACATGAGTGAACCTGGAGGATAGTATGCTAAGTGAAATGAACCAGTCACAGAAGGACAAACACTGCGTGATACCACTTTCATGAGGTATCTAAAATAGTCAAACTCACAGAAGCAGAGAGTAGAAAGTTGGTCACCAGGGGATTAGGAGAGAGAAATGGGAGGTTTGCTGTCCCAAGAGTATGAAATTTCAGTTACGCAAGGTGAGTAAGTTCTAAAGATCTGCTGTACAGCATAGTGACGATCGGTAACAATACCGTATTGTGCAGTTAAAAATCTGTTAATTGGGCTGGGCGTGGTGGCTCACGCCTGTAATCCCAGCACTTTGGGAGGCCGAGGCGGGTGGATCATGAGGTCAGAAGTTTGAGACCAGCCTGACCAACATGGTGAAACCCCATCTCTACTAAAAATACAAATATTAGCCGGGCATGGTGGCATGGGCCTGTAATCCCAGCTACTCAGGAGGCTGAGGCAGGAGAATTGCTTGACCCCAGGAGGCGGAGGTTGCAGTGAGATCACACCACTGCACTCCAGCCTGTGCAACAGAGCGAGACTCCAACTCAAAAAAAAAAAAAAAAATTTAATAGAGTAGATTTCATGTTGTGTTTTTCAATAAAATTAAAATTAATTTAAATTACAATAAAAAGTAAAATAAAAAGAAGCGAGCGAGAACATGGACAAAGAGTTGAGATTGCTCTTTTCTGATTTTATCTTAGCCACTAGCGCAATATGGGATTTAGGTACATCAAATCAAGTTTGGGGATTTCAGTTTATCCATTCTTCAAAGTGTTGGACAAGATGATTTCTGAGGATGTTATGAAGTGTTTGAGGCTGTACTTTCAGGTTCCTATTTGATTCATGAAAACTTTTATTTCGGTGTCTGGAAATAAAGATGTTAAGAAGGAAAAAGACGGGACATTCCTCGGTATAATGGGTAACTACATCAGCCCTGAATCTTGACTTCCTCTGTAACACAGAGCACACTTTTCAGACTCTGCGGCTTGTTGCTTTCCATTTGTAAAATGAAAATGTAAAATAAAGCACCTTCTCCATCCTGTTGGTACCTACTGTTGCAGTGGTCATTTTTCATGTTACATGTGATACTAGCTTTTTGTGTGTCAGCTTCTTTTCTGAACCTCTCCGTGACCCTGACAAGACGTGTCGCTTCAGTGTCGCATTTAATTTAATAAAATAAATTGTAAAGTAGGGCACCTTCTCCATCCAGATGTAACATGAAAAATGACCACTGCAACAGTCGTAGTCACAAGTGCAGTGTAATTCTATAGCATGTGGTCCAAAACAACTGATCCTTCTGGTCTCTGCTTAATGTCACTTCCACAAGAAGGCCTTCTCCATCCCCGACACAAGGCTAGTGCCCTGGTGCTCCCACACCGTGTTGACATTCCTCTCTTGTCACAACATGTGAGTCTCCTCCTCCCTGACCAAATCACACACAGGAAGCCCCATGGAGCTGGAGACTGGGTTCATTCCCCTTTACCATTTCATATTGCCTAGCATATTGCTTGGCCCTCAGTGAATATTTGTTGAATGAACCAATGAAGATTGAATGAATGAATGCCTTTGAAATTTCATATTTTTCTTTGACATTTTCTCCTTTGGCCGCATGAAATTTGCTAAGTAGTCAAGAGGCCTAATATTTTGGCCATTGCTCCACAGTTCTAGAAAGTAGGTTCTGAACCCTTTATTACCACTGCTCACTGTTTTTCTCCTCTCTGGGCCTCAGTTTCCCTACTCAGTTAAGGAGTGGGGTAAATAAGACCCCCTGTATCAGAATCACCAAGCTTATTTATTAAAACGTGGATTTCTAGGCCACACCCATCCCAGAGAGGTTAGAATCTGTATCAGGACCATACAGAGGAGTCTGAGATCTGCCTTTCCCCAGTGTCTGCCAGTGACTCTCGCACGGAGAGCAGATGCCAAAGAAGCTTCCAAGACTTCTTCTGTTCCTGGGGGTAGGAACTGGACCATTCGCATTTTTCTCATGAAGACTGTTTCCTTCCCAGTGTCTGGCCTTAGAGGAGAAGAGAGGAAGGAGAAGGGGGTGGCGTTTCTTGCTACAACAGGTGAGTGCTGCTCCCCAAAATCCCTTGGGTTGTCTGGGCTATTGTCTGCAGAGTAATTCCTCCACTTCTCTGAACCTCTGTTGTTTCCCACAGTGGAGAGAACGTCATCTCTCTAATCATTATCTGATCATTAAGTAAAAGTTGAAGAAGGCAACGTTTGAATAAATAGGAGCATCAACAACTGTTTCCATCTTGTCAACTGTGATTTCCAAATCTTTTTTCTTTTAGATGGAGTTTCACCCTTGTTGCCCAGGCTGGAGTGCAATGGCACAATCTTGGCTCACTGCAACCTCCACCTCCCAGGCTCAAGCAATTCTCCTGCCTCAGCCTCCCAAGTAGCTGGGATTACAGGCACCTGCCACCACATCCTGCTAATTTTTATATTTTTAGTAGATATGGGGTTTCACCATGTTGGTCAGGCTGGTCTCAAACTCCTGATCTCACGTGATCCACCCACCTTGGTCTCTCAAAGTGCTGGGATTACAGGCGTGAGCCACTGTGCCTGGCCAGTTTCCAAATCATTAAGGAATAGCCGGAGGAAGTGGGAATTTTAACTCCACTCGCTGCACGCTGCCACTCCTACCACACCTGGGAGATTTCTCCCTCCATCCTGGGTCATATCCTGGACCTATTAATTCTGAATTTTTGAGGATGGAGCCCAGGTACTGGAATTGTGTAATTTAAAATATATATATTTCCAGGTGATGTCAATGCTCAGCCAGGTTGTGTGGACCCCACTTTTACACGGGGTACTTATTTTCAGAGAACTGCTGAGAACTCCTGCAATGCCCTTGGGCTTCCCATTATGCTTGAGATACGTTTTATATGAGTCCTGAGTCTCTCCAAATGCAGAGATGCAATCGTCACTAAAAGTTAGTGTTTCCTGTGCTTAATTGGGATTTCTCTTATCTGTATTTGTCACTCTGTTGACTGTCACCTCCTAAGGTCGGGACCCTCCTCTTGACTTGGAACCCCTTGTGCCTGACACTTGGTTTGTGTTCAGCACATGTGCAAAGAAGTTGAATATCTACCTGAAGTTTGGAAATGAGGAACTTTTTCTCTTGCCGAGAAAAGCCTGCCAGTGACATTATCTCTGAATCTCTTTCAGAGCTGCCTGCAAGGTCAATCGATCTTTCCGCACTTAATCTGACGGAGCTTGTGAATGGGATGTTGAGTAGAGCATTAAAAGGTAATCATTTTTTAAAAACACAATCCAGGTCCATGTTTTTTATTGTACCAGTGTCTTTTCTGAACCTTTCTGTTGCCTCGACAAGACACTTCACTTCTGTGTCTCAAGTTTTTCGGTGTTCAGAGTGGAGAATAGGCTGAACTCAGTGGCCCAGGCCTGTAATCCTAGCACTTTGGGAAGCTTCTTGAGCTCAGGAGTTTGAGACCAGCCTAGGCAACATGGCAAAACCCCGTCTCCACAAAAAATACAAAAATTAGTTGCGTGCAACGGTGCATGCCTGTGGTCCCAGCTACTCAGGAGGCTGAGGTGGGAGGATTGCTGGAGCCCAGAAGGTCAAGGCTGCAGTCAGCTGTGATCATGCCACCGCATTCCACCCTGAGAGAAAGAGTGAGACTTTGTCTCAAAAAACAAAAACGGAAACAGAATGCAGAATTCATTGTCCCACCTAACTCAGAATGACGTAGAAGGTTTACAAGAATTTTGAGAGTAAATTGCATTCCAGACATCGTATGTTTGTAATTGTAACTCTGTTGCCATAAACTAATAATAATTACTCATTGATTAAGTTAATATGATTCTGGATTTCTTTTTTTAAGACCATATTATGATTACGATATTATTGTAATCTTCTTTCTGTGTTCTTTAGCGTCTAGCAAAATGATTTGTATGTAACACATACTTAGTGAATGACAGCAAACCCTGAACGATCCCTAGCGTACACTCCTCACTGCCTTCACTATTTATTCTCACATTCTTCAGTCAATGTTCATAGAACACCTATCACATGTCAGGCACTATTCTAAGTATTGGCGGATAAGGCAGTAAACAAAAAACAGAAATCTCTGGCCTGGGGGAGCTTCCATTCTGTTGGGTGAAGGGGTAACCAAAACCAAACAACAAACATGTAATTTAGAATAAGGGGGATGGAGAACGCCAATTCAGCATTGAGGTCTATGTAAATGGCATTCCCTAGGATTGTGCAATACACACACTGCACAACTGTGCCTGCTGGCTCTACACTTGTTCACTTACACATTTACCCATAAACATTATTATCCATCCCTGTCCCAATGCCTGTTACTGTAAATCACAGGGATATAGCTCCTGCCTCCAGTTTGCTCTCATGAGAGTTGCCGTGGATAGGGCTGCCTTGGGAGGTGCACGATAAGAAGGCAGTAGTCTACCTGCAGAGGGTGCTGTGGAGAGACTGAATCATCAGATGGAGGGATGGGCTGCAAAATATTTAGCCCTTCCAGCCTTGAACTGTTAATCCTGTCCTTTCCTCTGCAAGGCCCTGCCCTGGACTCTGCGAAATTTTGCAGAGACTCGAATGCCGTAACTGGTGCCCTCAAGGAGCTCAAAACTCTTCCAATGACTAATTTAATCCTTGTATAACCTCCATGGGGTGGTACTTTCACTCCCATTTTCTAGATGCAGACATTGAAGCAAGCCCATTGCCATATAGAATTGGAATTCAGACATGTTTAATCCAGGTTTGTGATGTAGGCCAAAGTTCCCGAAACTTGTTGCACAATAAGAAGGACCTGACATACTTATTAAATATTCATCTCCCCAGGTTCCTGCTCTAGAGATTCTGATCCAGCTGATCTTGGATGGGACCCAAAACGTACATTTTTACCAAGTGCTATTTGTGATTCTTATCATGAAAAAAACTGAGTACTGGAGTATTCACATTTTGGTGTATACCCCATTCTTCTAAGGAGCTTATTAAATACAGAGGCTGGTTCTCACCCAGTGTACCGCATTAGGGTCTCCAGACGGCAATAGCCAGAGAGCCGAGGGGGAGAATGGGCACCGCTGGTGATTTGCATGCGCCAAAGTTTAATGATTCTGCCATTCCATCCACCATCAAAGTGGGTCACAAATTTATATGAATAAAAATCACCTGAGGCAGGGCACAGTGGGTCATGCCTATAAACCCAGCAGTTTGGGAGGCTGAGGTGGGAGGATCACTGGAGCCTGAGAGGTCGAGCCTGCAGTGAGCTGTGACTGCATGACTGCATTCCAGCCTGAGTGACAGAGCAAGACCCTGTCTCAAAAAAAAAAAAAAATTCACCTGACAACTTTGTTAAAATTCAGAACCCTGGGCATACCCACCTTTCCCCTTTCTTCACCATCTGATTTAGTAGACCTGAGTCACATCCAGGAATGTGCCCTTTTAATAGGTGCACCTTGTGAATTGATGCAGGTGGCTGATTCTCAGACCATGGTCTGGAAAGATCTCCCTCTGCTGCACTGTCTTCCAGATACAAACCAAAAACAGGCACTGATGGAGAGTAGACAAGATGCTCATGCATGTATTCCTAAACCTGATTGTTTATGTTAGTATTCCTGGTTTAAAAAAAATTCCCTTTCTTTATGTAGTAGACTGAAAATGGCCAAAGATATCCACTTTGTAATTACCAGAATATGTGAATACTTCTTTATATGTCAAAAGAGTGAATATCACCTGATATGATAACATATTGATTGATTGAGTTAAAGATTTCGAGATGAGGCCATTGTCCAGGATTATCTGTGTTGTGCCAGATGCCACCGCAAGGGCCCTTACGAGAAAGAGGCAAAGGAGACACACACAGAAGAAAAGATCATGTGATGATAGAACAGAGAGAGATGTGGCCACAAGCCAAGGGACACAGGCAGCTGCCAGAGCTGAGAGAGGCAAGAACAGATTCTCCTTTAGAAACCTTGAAGGGAGTGTGCCCTACTGAGTTTCAAACTTCTAGTCCCCAGAACTGTGAAAGAACAAATTTCTGCTGTTTTAGGCCACCGAGTTTGTCATAATTTGTTACAGCAGCCTCAGGAGCCTAATATACCTTGGAATCTTACTTAGAGAGTTGCTACAGCTTGGGATGGATCAGGAAATATAGACAAATGATACATACTCTTCAGTTTTTTGGTTTAGTTTTACTTCGTTATTTTTTATTTCTATTACTTTTTTGTTTGTTTATTTTCATCATTGCTTTCTTTATTTGTATTGTTAATTTCTAGGGACTGTTTACCTATTTGTATCATTTACTCATTGTTACCTTAGTAGCCATCTGTCTGTCTCTTTATCTGGTATGTTTTGGCAGATAGCAAGAAGTTCTTCTCCTTGCTGAGTGTCACTTCCTACAGTTCCTTCGCCTTCCACAAGTTTTCTGTAGCTGTTTACAACAGTGAGTGCTGCCTAGCTCTTCTTGATGGTGGTGGTAGTGGTGGAGATGTGTTGCAGGGCCGGTCTGTGTGTCAGGATCTCTGTTGAATCCTTTCTCTTCACAGTTTCTAACCTGAAGACGGTGGATCCCGCCAAATTCCCCACAAGGTATTGCTACTGTTTAAACAATCGGACCAATGATTTATCAGGTGGGTACAGCTAACTGTGAGGCTTGCAGCTTTTCTAATTTTGCTTGTGTCCTTTTAGATAAGTTTCTGTTTTTCCTCAGTGTAAGATAGGAAAATATGTTCCTATCCACTACCCTTAACCATGTGCATATTCATTATCCCAGTGAAAAACAGTTGTGTGTGCAAAAGGGACAGGAGGAAAATGTTCATGAAGCACTATTTTAATTGCAAAATTGAGGAACAACCTAAATATCCATCATGAGGGAAAATGGTTAAGTAGTTTCCATTAAGTCTCCAAAGTCTAATTAAACTTTGGAAAACAGTCACAGATAATGCATAAATGAGAGCGAGTCCTCAAATTTGGCCTGTGCATGGAAAAACTTCCAAGAGATTTTTAATTAGAAAAAGAAAGTTACCCAAAAATATGAAGAGCACAGTGTTATTGATAAGAACACATATGTGGGCACCAGATAGGTGATTCCCTCTGAAAAGAAGATTGGAGTGTGTTTTAGAGTGGAAGAATGTTGGTTAAAAGAGCCTTAGATTATCTGAACTTTTTTTCCCAAGGAGAGTATATTCATGTGCTAGTTTTATAAATAAAACTTTAAAGTATTACATGTTCCTTATTTTAGAGAACACTGAAAAATAAAAGTGACAATTTTTGCACCACTAATTCACCCATTCAGTAATTCTGTCTCAGTGTGCACTATGAGCCATGCACCCTTCTAGGTGTGGGTAAAGCACACAGAGCAAAGTGAACACACCTCCTGCTCCCATGGCACATAGATTCCTAGCGGGGAGCAGAGAGTAAATAAATGCACTGCAAGTACATGATATGTGGGCTGACAGCCTGACCATGGGGACCATGAAGCAGGGGAAAGCTGGAGGGAAAAGTCACGGTGGGGGATATTACTGTGTGTAGGGTGGTCAGGAAAGTCTCCTCCAAATGAGGTGAGGGTTGAGGGGTGATCTTCAGGATGTGAGGGGCCAGCCCTGTGGTTATTCCTGGGTACAGTGTTCCAGACAAATGCCTAAGCAGCAGCATGAGGAGGACCAGAGAAGCCAGCATAGGTGGAGCCGGTTAGCCAGGACAGAGTTGTAGGAAATTAGCTCCGATTGGTGAGGGCAAAGTGGGGAGGGTGTTGCAGAGCACATAAAAGTTTAAGGTCTACTGTGAGGATTCCAGTTTTCACCCGGAATAAGAAGGAAGCCATTGTGATTGTCTGCACAGGGAAGAGACATGATCTGACATTTTAAAAGGATCCTTCTGGCTGCTTGTTGAAGACTAGATTGTAAGGGAAGCACGCACTAAAGGCCACCAAAGCCTCTTGTACTTTTCCCCACTTAGTCTAATATTAATATTTTCCACCATATTACAAGCTCTTCATAAACATTTGTAATGGCTATGTAACCAGTGAATGCAAGCATTCTCTTGGCCACTACGCTGTTCTTAGACTTTTGAGTGAATCTAGGTTTTTCTTAATATAATAATTTTGCTTTGGACATCTTTGTGCATAAACTCTTCCCTGTTTCAGATTATTTCCCCCATAGAGTAGAATTTCTAAAACAAATATTGTGAAAATATTAAAGGAAAGAATTACTAATATTTAATGAGTACTATATGCCAGACCCTACATTGAGTACTTAATGTCTATTATCTTATGTAATTTACCCTGTGAATCTCATCAACAAATACATTTGCGAGGAAAAAAATTCTTCATAATCACGCCTTTCTCACCATTTCATTAACCCCTGCTGAGGGTAGAAGGCTGTGCTGAGTGTGTCCCTACCCTGATTGTGTGAAAGATAAAAATAATATTTAAAAAGTTACATCTGCCTGGAGAAAGTTTATAATTTTATTTCATGAGTCAAATCATGTTTCCACACACTTGTAACAATTATATGAAAAGAATGATCCATGGATCTTTATCTACTGATAAAATTGCATGCTGTTCCTCTGGTAGGTCACAGCAACTTTCGCAAGGTTTGACAAGACGTCACAGCGCTACCATGAGAGGCTGTACACTTAAGCCAGCAACTTGCCGTTGCTCAGCGCCTTTGGGGATGATGTCTTTTTGGATGATCTTTAGATCTGGATCATTTTCTTTTTAATGTTTTCAACTCTGACCTATAGCCCTCCTTTGAGGGTATATTTGCACATTTTCCTTTTTTTCTTCCTAAATGAAACTTGCTTAAATTTTCTTGATTTTAAAAATAGTGTACTGTGATGTCAAGATGTTATGCAACATGGACAGGTAAACTAAGAAACCAGAAATAACTGATATCCCACCATCCACTGGTAGTCACTATTAACATGCTGATGAATGTTATATAAGGCTGTCTACACTACCTATATAACCCACTTATCTATCCAACCTGTCATCTAAGCTACTTATCTAACCTACCTACCTACCTATGTACCCCAACTAATATCTACTCATTTGTGGAGACATCCTGCTCTACATATAGGAACCCATTCTTTGTATTATTTAGAATACAGGGTGGGCTACTATAACAAATGACTCCAAAATAGTCCAGTTTAAAGAAGGTAGAAGTTAATTGCTTTCATGTGTGATAATCTGGGCATGTAGACATGCTGGGGCTACTCTAATGGTTTGATGGTTTTGGGACCCAGGCTCCTTCTAGCTTGTTGCTTTGCCTTACATATGGATCTGTGTTCTCATAGCCTAAGGTAGGCTGTCTGCACATCCACAGTCCAACTACAAGGAAGGGGAAAAAGGATTTGGAAGGTGTATTAGTCCATTCTTCCATTGCTACAAAGAAATACTGGAGACTGAGTAATTTATAAAAAGAAGAGGTCTAATCGGCTCATGGTTCTGCAGGCTGTACAGGAAGCATGACTGCTTCTGCTCAGCTTCTGGGGAGGCCTCAGGAAACTTACAATCATGGCAGAAGGGAAGGAGAAGCAGGCAGATCTTACATGACTAGAGCAGGAGCAAGGGAGAAAGCGGGAAAAGGAGTTTTAAACAACCAGATCTCGCAATAACTAACTCACTATCATGAGAACAGCACCAAGGGCATGGTGCTAACCCATTCATGAGAAGTCTGCCCCCACAATCCAATCACCTCCCACCACACCTCACCTCCAACATTGTGGATTACAATTTGACATGAGATTTGGGCAAGGACACAGATCCAAACCATCCCACAAGGCATGCACAGGTATTATGAATTCACAGCCTGGAAACCATTCACATTTCTCTTACATCCTATTGCCCAGAATTTAATCTCATGGCTACACTCACCCGCAAAGCAAGCTTGAAATTATAGTCATTGTGTTAAACCACCATGTTCCCAACTAAAATTTGATACTCTCTTACTAAAGGAAGGTGGGAGAATCGATATTGAAAGACAACCATCAGTATCTTTCATTTTTTTCATGTAATTTTATAATCCACTCTCAAACTAACCCATATGTCTTTAAAAATCCATTTCATTCCAGTGATTGCAAGTATGCCTCATCCTTCACATGAATTCTTAGTATTCATTGACAGAATGTACCATGATTTATTTAATTTGTCTCCTCTTGTTGGAAACTTGGCTAATTCCTCATATTTTTGCAATTATAAACAAGGCTGTGATGAACACCTGTGTAAAATCACTTAGAATACTTGCCCAATTACCTCTGCAGAATAAAGCCCTCAAAATAGAATTGTTGGCTGACAGGGAAACAATATTATAATGATCTGAATTGCTAAAATGTCTTCTAAAAGTCTTGCATACGTTTACAATCTTACCAACAATGTTTGAATGCCTATGTTTCTCCACTCACATTTGCCAACACTGAGTGTTAAGAGACAGTCTTAAATCATTACCAAAATGATAGGTAAGGTTTTCTTAATTCTACCTTCTATTTATGTATAAAGGTAGTCATGAATCATTCATTTTGATCATTGCTAGTAAATTAGATAATTCAAACTTTCATAAATGCAAAGAATATCTTTGAGTTAATAATAACTGGCTTTCCCCCAAGCCTAAAAAGCAGATTGTGAAAACAGTTCTAAAGGGAGAATTGACAAAATGCATTGAGCAAGAGGTTTCATGAGTGGTGGTAAGAATACTGGGAATAGTGGAAGCTTCAGCCCAAGGCAGACCTCAAGTGAAATCCAAGCTCTGCCACGTACTCTGGAACTTTGGACAGGTTACATCATGTCTCTGAGCCTGGGGCAAAACCTGGACTCCATGTTTTGTGTGTGGCTTCAAAGCCATGCTCATAGCTTCTATGCAAGATTAATAATGACTTCCAAGTTGCATTTTATTGGTCTGTTTATGAATCTTGCTTCCCCACTAACCTCAACTTCTTCTGTATGTCTTACACAACTCTCCAGTACCTAGTAAGTGTATGGGACACTGCTAATGCTCAATGAATATTTATTAGATAAATGGAGTAATAAACAAAGGAGAATTTTTAGAAGCAGGAAGAAAATATATGGAATGACTAAGAGATAATACCCTTCCTCAGTTTCCACAATTGACTAAGAACAGACTGGTCTAAAGAGACAGAGAAGGAGGCCAAGGCAGGTGGATCACAAGGTCAGGAGATCAACACGGTGAAACCCTGTCTCTACTAAAAATATTTAAAAATTAGCCGGGTGTGGTGGGGGACCCCTGTAGTCCCAGCTACTTGGGAGGCTGAGGTAGGAGAATGGCGTGAACCTGGGAGGTGGAGCTTGCAGTGAGCCAAGATTGTACCACTGCACTCCAGCCTGGGCGACACAGCGAGACTCAGTTTCAAAAAAAAAAAAAAGACAGAGAAAGAGGGTGCCCATGTTTGCATATACAGATGTCTGTACCTGCATAGGTATACTACATACTGCATAGGTGTTCTCCCTCCAGGAGGTTAAAATGTGCCTGTACAGAGGTAGTAAGAGCACCTCATGGCTTCGGTTCTTACATAGTAGTGCCCATCATCTGTTGGTCTTGGCTACACATTCCACTAATTGTCACATAACATTTTCCTACCTCTTGTGGTTCTGTATTTTCAAGTTAGCTTGCTCCTGCCCAAACTCATGATCCCATTAATAAGTGAAAGGAGCATTTACACAGTATGATGGGAAATCATCCATTGCACCCAAGAAGCTTCCTCTCAAGAAAATGACTGGGACTCCTCAAACACATTCGCCTTGTTTAGAAGTCAAGAATGTGTTGGATTGTGGAAAGCCATAAATGAACAAAGAAGGAGATGGCAGCTGTTTGACTAGAAGAATATTAGGAATTTTCACAGTCAATGGTGCCCACCATGTCAGGAAATGGCCCTGTTCAAACTCAGCTGAGAAAGAAAGTCCACAACGATTCTATAACCTGAAATGCTGAAAAAAATTATCTCAGACACCACTTCCCACCACCACCACCACCACCACCATGAGTCCCCTTAAAAGGGGGGCAGAAGGAAAGGTTCCTGGTGATAATTTTATAAAGTGTCTTGTCTCTATTGTTCATAGTTTATAATCCACCAGTAAATTTCACATTGCACTTTCATTTTCCAACTCCCAAGTCTGTAAATTTACCTTACTTGTCTGAGGGGCTCTTCCTATCAGATGGAGTTGGTATTCTAAAAAACGATTAGGTAAAACAATGGGGAAACCCCCCAAAAAAGACCATTATTCAACAATGTGGTCCTTCTTAGCTCTTAGATGTTAGTAGAGAAGGGGTTGGGAGAGAGGACAATAAAAGAAGAAAGATTTTAACAGTGGATCCAAAGTTTACCTCTGGCCTGAAATCAAGACTTTTCCTTTTTTAGAATTAGTAGTATTTCTCTATACCATTGTTGATATTCCTCAATACACTAAACTAAATCAAACTTGTAAAATCTACTCTGAAAAATCCACATACAGTATACTTTTCTCCTTTTGTCTCTGAAGCAGAAATTTAAACCTCCTAAATTTGTCTTGCAGATTTTACAGCTCTACTGGTAGATATCATTGGAAATTCCACCAGCTACCTCACAGAGATTTTTAAGTCAACCTCCATCCTCTCAGGTGTGTTCATCTTGCAAACACTTTGGTAATTTTGAGGTTTAGCATCTGTTGTGGTAGATAATCAAGCATAGTATGTTCCTCACTCCAACCCTTGCCATAGGTTAGGCTGGCAGAAACCTTCATGTTATCTTTATTTAGATAATCAGTGTGGCCCAGTTTCCACACCAATAAATACACCAATATTTAAATCTTCATATTTCTGGGATGCGTAAAATTGGAGGAAGAATCCAAAGCTCAAAAGTTAAAGGAACGTAGGCAGACTCAAGAAAACATCTTCTGATGGGTCAATATACCCCCATTTTAAGGAGGACAAAACTGAGATCCAGAGAGGTTGAATATTTTACTCAAATTTGGTGCCAGAATTCAGGTTTAAATCTATATGGAGCCTAAGCCCATGTTTAGAGTACAGTTAAGAAACATACACCTCATTTATAAGGTGGTTTCATGTAACCCCCAGGAAAATCACATTTCCTTAGGGACCCACTTTGAAAAGCAAGGATCATTCTGGTCTCAGCAGAAAGATGGTGTGATGCACTGTGGAGCAGCTACTGTTTTAAAAGCAGGAGGAAGGGAGAAAGAGAAATAGTAACAGCTACCATTAGGTGTCAGATAATATTCTAAGGGCTTTCCATGTATTCTTTCATTGGATCCTCACTACAACCTTTTGGGGCAGCTACTATATTTATCCCTATTTGACAGGTGAGGAAACTGTCACAGAGGGGTTAAGTAAATTGTTCAACGTCACTCTGCAGAAGCAGAATTCTAAACCAGGTGATCTGGCTCTTAGCCTGTGCTCTTATGTTAGTATGCTAATGTATATAATAATAGTAATACATTAATAATAACAATAATGATTACTCTAGCTACCATGCTCTTCTATCTGCTGGGCACCATACCTAGTGCTTCACTCCCATTATCTCCTTGAATTTTCCTGTAATCCTATGAGAGACATGCAACCCCATGTCCACAGTCCTTTAGACAGCATCGTCAGAGAAAAGTATATTTAGGAATTCAGAAGTTTTCAGGCTTTTGAAGATCTAATAGTGTGACCACACCATACCTGATGTAACCTCTCCAACAGCATCCAGAGAAGCCCAGTATAATCAAACACGTTAAGGGTAATTTGGCAAAATGTTCAGCCCTTTACACTAAGTAGGATCGATAAAGACTATCATAGCCTCATATTTTTCAAGTTTTGATACCAAGCTCACACAAAACATGCTGCCTTACAGAGATGTGGGGATTTGGGAATTACAAATAAGGGATTGTGGGATTTGAATTTTCACCATTTTATAAAGGGGTAAACTGAGTCCTGAAGAGGTCAAGCAGTTCATTCTTGTTTGCATAGCTAGTAAGTGGCAGAGCTGATGTTGTAACTGTGGAAGCTGACCTCAGAGGCTCTGCCCTTAGCCACTACACCATCCCCCAAACCCAGCCAAATAAAATAAAGAAATCAGAAAATCAGGACTGCCTTAAGAGTAAAGAGTCAGCCTTATTTTCCTATATTATCCTAAGTTAAGTACTTTCAGCTTAATTTTCATTTCAATCAAAGACTTACAGCTTCAAACCCATTGCTAAGTCTTATTGTGTACTGGTTTGTCTTACAGTGAGTCAAAGCAATGTATCAGATTGCATCTTCATCTGTGTGATGACAGGAAAGCCAGGTAAACCACTAAGACATTCTTTGACAAGCTCTCTGGGCTGAGAAATAGACAAAACTGTCCAACAGATGAAACCCAAGATCTGATGCTGTTGGTGTGATTTTTGCAGGAAGGAATCTTTCTGACTTCTGGGAGATGGAGGAAAAATACCCCATTATCAATTACACATTTACCAGCGGCATGTCTGGTGTGCTGGGTGAGTACCAACCTCCCAAACTCCTCCCATAGACTCTCCAGACCAGGGTCCCACCTGGCACACTAGCAACTGAAAGCTGCCCTCAGGTGTTGTGTTTAGCTACACTGTTAAAAATCAGAGAACTTGGCCATTAAAAAAAAAAATGAATTTCTGGATTCTCTTGCAAAAGGTCTGGCAATTCTAGATCCTCCCCCCAACACATGGCAATAAGGAACTGGAACTGAGTAGCTGCCACCCTCATTCCCACACTAGGAAGGGCACCTTTTCCCTCTTTTCCATAGTCCTCTCTGCCCCCTATTGCCTTGCATGTTTTTTCGCATATTAACTACTTGGTTTTTGTAGACATTTGAATTTGTGACTCTGTGCTGGGGACCTGGCCACTCTGTAATATCCAGTCCCTACCCAACCATGACCCACTTTCATGCCCCTCTGTGCCAAAATGGTCATGCTGTTGTCTCCTTCTGAAACTTCTTCCCTACTTTTCCATATTTCAGAACCCTATTTGCCTGTTAATTGCAGCTTAGATACTACCTCCTCTTTTTTAAATATCCCCCAATCAAAGTCAGTCTTCATCTTCTACCGTCCCATAACACAGCACTTGCATGTCATTTGGACTCTATGTTACTCCGGGTTGCGACACAGTTGACATTTCTATGTGTGTCTCAATGAATGGAACTGGAAGGCAGAAGAAGTAGTTTCCTTCAGCCTCACAGCCTGCCTTCCCCTTGATGCCTCGCACATAGTAGGCTCTTCATCACTTTCTCTTGAAGTGCAATGAAGGATACAGTAAATCTGCAGCTCCACTTCAGGGGCTACTTTGCTTTATATTTATTGTAGGGCTTCTTTTGATTATGCTGTAGAAGGAATCTCAATTTGTGTGGGACAAGGCTACTTGATAAGAAGATGAAATGGGCAGTTGGTAGAATGACTTCACCTGCCCGATTCTCAGTACAGATCTTAGGGTTGAGTCAATCTCATTTATTTGGAGAGTCTTTCTGTGACATTCCCAACCCCCACCCCTCTCTCCCACACACACACCAGTCTCAATTAATTCTCCCACTTTGTGCTCCTTCAACAAGAACAAATGCCTAGGAAGAGAGAACATATTTACAAGCTGATGCTAAAGCTGATGTGCCTGAAAGCAAGTACCCTGGCTGGGTAATAGTTTGGCTGGATGTACTTAGCCCCATGTCTGGTTGATCTGGGAGCAAGGCTCAGGCTGGTGTTGCATGCAGGGTGTTAATGGGCCCAGAAGTAGGGCAGAGAGGGGAAATGAGACTGCAAGGCCACTCCTGTAATTAGACAGTTCTCATTCTACATGCATTCAGGGGAGGTGGGGGCCAAAATCCAACACAGGCTCTGCCCACCAGACTATAGGCCAGTCTTTGTCTTCCCAGAGGAAGGGACCCTATGGGCTAATAGGAGCCTGTCATCCTCATATCCACTGCTGCCACCACTTGAGCCTTCCCTAGGGAAGATATAAGGTGAAACTAATACCTGATCCCACTTCCTTCTTTCCTTCATGGAGCAACCAAGGATGCTGCATAGATTTCCCTCTGAATTAAGCTCTCCTGCTAACGCTGTGGGAGCCTATTTTTCAAGGTGTTTCTGTCTGGAAGCTTCTGATTCCCCCAAATTTCACTTTTGGCTTTTAGTTGTGTCCATAAGGCATACGAAGGAGACTCATTCCTCTTCCAGGGACATGTACCAGAGTCCTGGAGTGGCTGAGGGCTGGAGGTGGAAGAAAGGCTCTGACAGGGATCAGGATCTGTTTAGGAAACATAGCAAATGCCTGATACTTTTAAGCTTGAGAGCTTTGCATTCTGTTCAGTGTGATTCATCACAGATTTTTTTACAAATTGATAGTTTATCTTAATTTGAATTCAAGGAGAAATACTTCTTTTGGTTTTATTTGATGCTGTTCAGAGAAAGGTTTGAATCTCCACATTCAGTATATTTGCTGTCCAATGACCTTTCCATTTTTTTATGTCCAAAGTGTCAAGCATGTTAAAGTTACCATTGACTGCCTCCCTGAAGGTACAGCTACCAGGGGAACTGCCAGGACTTCAAAGCCCACAACCAAAAGCCAGAAAACACTGCCAAGTACAAGCCCCCGACGCTGGGCCCAGAGCACACCCTGGGCATCTGCTCTGAGGACATCTCCCTGGATAAAGACAGCTGCTCCTTCAGAAAGAGGGGAGACCCTGAGCACAGACAGGCCTCCTGAGCTTCCTGCCAGGGCCACGGCCACTTGGGTCAGTGCCTCCCATACTCTCCCAGCCTTGGGTAAGACGCATTCTCACCCTTTCCTCCCCTTGCTGTGTCTGGCTCCTGTTCCCTTTAGGCTCGCATATATAGACAAAATCCTTACCTCAATCCCTTCTCCATCAATGAAGTTACACTTCAGCTTACTTAAGTAACAGATCTATATGAGCCAGTATGGGTTCTACAAGATCAGGCAAAGGCAGAAAATGCCATTGCCATAACGTACTTCTAATATGTATTTTGATGACTTTTTCTTCTGAAATAGTTTAAGACTCACAAAAAGCTGCGAAAATAATATACAGAGTTCCCCAGTACCCTTCACCCAGCCTCCTTCAATGCTATTGTCTTATATTATCACAGTGCATTGTGGTAAAAGTATTCATATTTCAGCAAAGCATTTAGCGATATCGCTCCCGAAATTCACATGAAATGGTGAAGTGAAGTCAATATTTTACGGCATGGTTAGTTCAGTCTGTAACTGGTTCAATAATGATGCCAAAAATACGTTAATGACTTGACACCAGTGGGAAAGCTGCCGCCAATGGCCTGCAGGAGGCTCCTGCCTCCCCAGCATCTTGAGTACATGATCAGCAGTGTCATCACTAAAGACACAAAAGGCGTGGTTATCTTATTTTTCCTATTTGGAAATAATATAAAATGGAGGTAGCTCATTAAAAGTCAATATTTTCTCAGCGGGATCCAACAATGGACCCCGCTGAGACAATATTGTCATCAGAATTCATTCATTCAGTTATCAGAATTCATTCATTTATTTACTCATCAAAACACATTTCCGTCCAGACACTAGGCTAGCTGTTAAAAACACAGCTCTACAAATGTTCTCTCTCTTTCCTGAGCTCTCAGACCTAGGAAAGAGCCCAGGCAAGTGAACCAATAGTCATGATCCAGCCTACAAAGAACCATTGTACACAGAGAGCACAGAGAGGGCTCCTACCCTGGCCTAGAGGAGACACAGGCTTCCCCAAGAGACAAGAATTGATAGGTGTCAGCAGGCTAGGAAACAGGGATGACTGGGTGGTGTAGAGGAAAAGAAACCAACTCCATTAAGTAGAAAAACACATTTACTGCAGAAAATTAGCACAATAGCTGGCATCATGACAATTATACAAAATCAGAAAACTTTCCAGGATAATATGACAAAAGCTTGTGATTTCTAATCACAAGAAAAAATCATTAAAATGCCTACCTATAATCCTACAAGGAGAGGTGCTGGTTTTATACAAAGAAAACTACGAGATTTTAATGAGAGTAATAAAGGAGTATTTAAATAAATGAAGAAATACACCATGTTCTGGTTGAGAAATCTGAGTATTTTAAAGAAAGCAACTGTCCTCAACGTAAGTTATAAACATAAAATCCTTCAATAGAATTCAGTTTTGTAAAACTTGAAAAAACTGACTTTAATTTCTACTACGTTAATAAACAGGTAAGAACATCCAACAATTTTTTAAAAGGCCAATGAGGGAAGATCCTTCCTTCCTTCTTCTTTCTTTCCCTTTCTTCCTTCCTTCCTTCTCTTTCTTTCTTTCCCTTTCTTCCCTTCTTCCCTTCTTCCCTCCTTCCCTCCTTCCCTCTTTCCTTTCTCTTTCTTTCTTTCTTTCTTTCTTTCTTTCTTTCTTTCTTTCTTTCTTTCTTTCTTTCTTTCTTTCTTTCTTTCTTCCTTCCTTCCTTCCTTCCTTCCTTCCTTCCTTCCTCTCTCTCTCTCTCTCTTTCTTTCTTTCTTTCTTTCTTTCTTTCTTTCTCCTTTCCTTCTTTCCATCTTTCCTTCTTTTGAGATAGACTCTTGCTCTGTTGCCAAGGTTGGAGTGCAGTGGCTCGATCTCTGCTCACTGCAACCTCCGCTATCCAGGTTCAAGCGATTCTCCAGCCTTAGCCTCCCAAGTAGCTGGGATTACAGGCACCCTGCTACGATGCACAGTTAATATTTTTGTATCTTTACTAGAGCTGGGGTTTCACCATGTTTGCCAGATTGGTCTCAAACTCCTGACCTCAAGTGATCTGCCTGCTTCTGCCTCCCAAAGTGCTGAAATTCCAGGCACGAGCCAAGGATTTGTCTTAACTAATAACAATCCTGTGATGTTGGAGGGCAGGTATTATTATTAATACTGGTATCCTCATTTTCATGAGGAAGCTAAAAGGAGTTAAGCAATTTGCCCCAAAGTTCACACTATGGAGAAGACAGAGTCACGACTAATCTGTTTGGATCTCCTCACCTCAGACCCCGAAATCTTTTCACTATGTCACATGATTAGAAATGTATTAAATCAATTTGAGAGACAGCTAACTGACCCCCAAACACCATGGCTGGGGTTCCTAGAGATTCAGAGGGGTGTGTGTGTGTGTGTGTGTGTGTGTGTGTGTGTGTGTGTGTTCATTGGTGCTTAGGAAAAACGATGCTTATTTAGGTCCATTTATTTCAGTTCAGAGTAAAGTTTAAGCCCCTAGATTATCTATATTACAGGTGCACATTGCATTTGCCCTTTGATAAGGTTTCAATGTCTCGACAATTTCATATCTGAATCAAAGTGGTCAAGCATGTCAGTACCCTGTTACTATCACTTTGAATGTGCAGCTACCAGGAGGGTGGCCAGAACTCAGTGGGTGACCGTTGACAGACAGACATGGGCTTCCATATCGTCCGTGCCCTGGGCTCAGATCATCGGTGAGAAAAAACCTGGAGGGTCTCCCTGGGAAACTCGTTCTCCCCCACCGACTACTGCAGGGGCCGAGGAAGTCATGTACACTATGAGCCTTTTGGCGCCTCCTGCTGGGATAATGGCCACAACTGGCAGCCCATCCCAGGACAGCCCTACCTCAGGTAAGACAGGGTGCCCACTTCTACCTCTCCTGTTTTAAATTAAAGTTAGCATTGTCTGTTTTGATAACCTTTCTAAATTTTTGGAATATAACACACATACAGAAAACTAAGAAAACATAAGCAATATAATTAATGATCATGAAGCAAACTCTTCCTTCTCCTTTCCTTTGCCCTACCTCTTTGTTCCCATCTGTAGATGAATGGAAGTTCCTTCTTTCATTCCCCAGTTCCTCTCTCTTTTATGTAATCCCACTCCCCAATTTCTTATCTTTTTCTCTGTTTCATTGTCCATTAACAAGCAGTATGACAACTACAATGCATGGACCCGGGCCTGAAATTCCAGGCATGCGCCCTACCTGCTGCTCAGCCCCACCTTGCCCCTCCACCTTCCTCCTCTAGACTCCAGCCACAGCACACTGCTAACTGCCCACGTCTCCTGATCTTTATATATGCACTTTGTTGTGCCTGCAAAGCCCACTCTCCTCCAGATCTGCTGTGCTGTTTGACTCAGAGTAGATGTCACCTGCCCCAGCCGAACTGGGTGTCCATCACCTGTGCCTCGGCTGTTTCTCAGCCTCACCTCTTTCCTTCCACTTAGCCATATGAGGGAACTTGCCTGCTGGAGCTTCTCTCTCACTCATCTCCTACAAGGAGACTGTATTGCTGGTTTTGCCAGAGGCCAGAATCTTAACAGCAAGGATCAAGTCCTGAAGTGACCCTTAAACTAAGGCTTCATGAACATGATATGAAAATTGTTGAACTGAGCCCATACTCTCTCATGAAAATGACAGGCAATTTATCTGGAGTGGGATGGAGCAAGGTATACACTAAGACTCAAATGAATGAGAAGCAACTCATTTTTTCTTTGCCCAGGAGCACCCACATTGGATACTTCCTGTACAACACCATCGCTCTCCCGTTCCGTGTCACCATACCTTACCAATGTTAGCTGGTTTCCAATGGTACCCATCATGCTGTATCACAGCCATGATGAAATTTTCCATTTCCTTTTTCAAACTCCATTGTGGGTTCTATTTCTTACTCCTCTCTGCTTCTTAAAGCCCTACCTGGTACCTAGCTTAACCGACATTGGTTGGATAGGGCAGGATTGGTGGCCCTGGTCCTCTTCTCCCTCAGGGCCCCCTAGAAGAGATGCAGGCTCACCTCTCTCTCATCTCCTCCCAGGAGCATTCACCCATGGCACACAGACTCCAAATCCAACCAAGGCAACAGCCCCCAGAGATCCACAAACAGGTGAGAATGCACAGCGGGAAAGAGAAACTCTATACAGAAGTGGGGGTTTGGGGGGCGGGGGATGGGAGGGGCGGGAAGCTTGAGGACAAGGGCGTGGTGGGATGGGGTACCAGTAAGCAATCTAAGCAAGTTATTGTGCTTTGTTGTTTCCTGCAGGAAAAGAGTCAGGAGAACTAGTTTATAAGCCTTGCCATGCTGCTAAATTGCCGTGTGTGGTCTTGCATAAAGCACTTCCCCTTTTTTGGCTATCATTTCCCTATAGATTTCAAGAATGATTTATCTTTAAGATGTTATAAATTTCTTGCTGTGTGTATCACCCATGGTAATTCCATTCTGACTTCTGGAAGGCCATTCTTGCCCTTTGCAGGTGATCTCTCTGCAGAGTGGACATTCACCCCTGGGGAAGAGCCAGTCCTGGTCCCAAGACCCCATCAAGTTTCAAGTGAGTACCAGTGCCCAGTTATTACTATTGCTTGTGTTTATTTTGAACAAGGTCTTGTAGTAGAATAAAGAGAGGTTTGTTTGGTAAATTTAGAATCAGACTCCTGGGATTCAAATCTTAGCTCAGCCATTTACTGGTGAGGTGGCCTCCAGTACTCAACTTCCAGGATTCAGTTCCCTCAACTGTAAAGCAAGAATAATTGCAATTTTTGTGGGCACTAAAAATGCCTGTTTCTTTTTTCTTTCCCACAAGGTTTTGTATTAAGTAAGATAATGTTTGTGGAAGTGGTTTGGAAGTAAAGAGCTCTGTAGAACTTAATTCAATCAACTTTTATCGAGTGACTGTCTATTGGGCAGCATGCTGGGCACTTTGCAAACAGAAGCTGCTCTTGCAATGAGCAGGGTTGATAGCAGTGAAGGAGGAAGGAATAAAAAAGATGACTCCAAAATGCAACTTCATTTGCTGGGTGTGATGTCCTGTTGTTCTGTGTTAAGGGATACCCTACCCTTTCCATCCCTGCACAGTTAATTCTCATGGATCTAGAAAAAGACCATTTCCTGGGTCTGTAGCTCTGTTTCCAGAACTCCTGACAGAGGCTGAGGACTTGAGTTACTGTGGTTTTTGATGCATTTTTCCAGCTTTTGGACATCTCACTCTCCTCTTTTCTGTTGAGCCAGTTTCCATAAGAAAGAAATGGATACAAAGTGAGTGCTTCAAAGCTGCTTGAGTCCTCAGGCTCCTCCCACTCCTGAATACCTTTGTACACCAGCTCCTGAACCATCCGGTCATATGTCAACAGGGCATTATTAAACTGCTGGACCCTGCCCCCTCTCCTTTTTCATGTCACCTTAGATCTGCCCCAGCCTTACTCTCAGCCTGCAATGAATAGTGAATGAACCTTTCAGACACAAAGATGTGATTGTGCTACTAAGGAAATTATATCCCTTTTCTCCCAGGAGTTCTAAAGAAACACAGTGGTGCAGATGGAGGCAGTTGTGAGACCGAGTTTTAGAAAACAGGATGACTATATCTATATCTATATCTATATCTATATCTATATCTATATCTATATCTATATTGGTGTCTGTTTCCATATCTATATCTATATCTGTATCTATATCCATGTGTCTATAGCTATCTGTATAGGTATATCTATCTGTCTCTCTTGTTAGCTCTATCTACTTACCTAATAGTTATTTACCATATCTATCTATCTATTAATCTACCCACTCCTGTCATCTATCTAATAGATATTTATCCAAGCTATCTATCCATCCATCCTTTCATCAACCCGCCTATCCATCCATACCTATTTATCTTTCTATCTAGTTATCATTATTTCTTAACTTCTGTATCATAGATATTTGCCTATCCATCTGTCATCTATCTATCTACCTATGTAGTGAAAAATACAATTGTAAATTAAAGGGATTCTGGCATTTCTCAGTAACTTATTCTGTTCATCCAAAAAAAATCATGCCACAGAATATTTGGCATCCACTCATTCATCCATTTAATAAATATTTATTGAGCTCCTACTGTACTGCTAGGCACTATGCGAGGCCTATTTTTACTTTCTCTTCACAATAATTCTGCAGGAGAGGCAATATCTCATTAAGGAATTATGGTGAGTTCTACATATAAAAGGAGACTACATGTGACCCCAGATCTAATTTCAAAGCTTGTGCTTATTCCACACCTCTGTGTCACCTTTCCGAAGATATACCACATGTGAAGAAAAGAAAAAAGCTGCGAGAAAAAAAGTGGCTAGATTCTTAAGAGAAGTAGAAACTATGTATATCCAGAGAGGAAGAGATTACCTTCAGGTGAGGGGATGGTTCAAGAGTTTATTGATTGGGAATGTGGCATCTGAACAAGGTGCATTCTAAGCAAAGGCATAGCTCAAGCAAAGGCACTATACCTTAAAAGGACTGATGCTGAAGGTGCTGAAGGTGAGGGTAGTGTGGAATGAGGCTACAGAGGTAGCAAAGAGTAAGATTAACAGGGCTTTGTCACCAAGTCAGGGAGTGTAGAATTCTGAGGCAAGTAGAGTAATGTGATCAGATTTGTGTTACAGAAAGGTTTCTCTGACTGCAGAATGGGGAGGAATAGGAGAGGTTAGGAGCAGGGAAACTTGTGAGGTGACTGTTGTGCTAATGATGGCCAGTGATGATGGTGACTGGAAAGTGGAGGTGACTGTGTGGATAGGGAGACTTGGATGATATTTAGGAGATAGAACCCAAGAGGATGGTGGAGTGAGCACAGGAGAGAACCAAAAATCATGCCCAAGTTTGATCAACTAAGTGGATATCCCAAGTGTCATTTCCTGAGTTAGAGAAGGACGGATGGGATGGGATGGGGCAAGGGGCATGGAAATCAAGCCTTGGGAATGTTAATTATGTTCAAGTAGTGAAGTGTGATGGTTATGAGCACAGGCTTCAGAGTCAGACCTTGCTGGAGTTACTCTCTGTTGCATAACTGATACAACTGCAGAATTACTCAGAACCTCTGTGTCCTCTTCTGTATACTTCTGATGTCTACTTTACAAGATTTATGAGAATTAGATAAAATAATGTAGGCAAAGATCTTAAGAGAGTGTCTGATACGTAGCAACTGCTCAATAACTGATAAAGTCGGGGCACATTGATCAAATTGATCAATGTTCTGGAGGGTTTATGTTCTAGTTAACTCAGAATAAAGTATTTTCTTTCTACCTTTTTAAAAAGTCGTCTGCTAACATTATGAGCCCCTTCTTCACTTAAATAAATATATTACTGGCCAGATGTGGTGGCTCATACCTGTAATTCCAGCACTTTGGGAGGCTGAGGTGGGAAAATTACTTGAGCCCCGGAGTTTCAGACCAGCCTCGGCAACGTAGCAAGAAATCTCTACGAGAAACAAAAAATAAAAATAAGTAATTACTGATAAACTATAATTTTGAAAAATGTTCAAACATGACAGAATAATATTAAATGAGCACATGTCAACATGTCAAAGATATTATCAAACTCATTAAATAATGAGGAAACCAGAAAGATGTGAAGATTGGTTCAATGCGAAATTTGAGGGAAAAAGATTTATGTAGTCAGTCAAAGGAATTCTCAAATGAATTGATATCCCACAGCAATAAACTCTTTTTTTTTACTGGACAAAAATCAATTGCACCTCTACCAGACAAAATTCATTTACATTGCTATGGACAGAAATCATTAGCATTGCTCTTAGACAAGAATTATTTATATTGCTATCAGTTAACATCTACCTCTTGATAGTTGTAAAATCACGCATTCAATAGAAAGTCAATTAATGGTGCACAATTCTTTTTACCCAGACAGTCCCCAGAGAGTCTGCTAGACAATAACCAAAACTGCATTAAAAGAATATTCAGTAATCCTTTTTGTTTATTTCCAGGTTTTAGATAATTTTTCCTGATAGTGATTAGTGAACCTTTGTTGGAAGGTTATTAGTAATGTTGTAATATAACCTTCTAGTCCCTAGAAAGTAAGCTCTGTGAGAGGAAGGCCCTTTTTCTTCTTATTCATTGCGGTAGCTCTAGTGGCTGTCACCAGTGCTTAGCTTGCAGTGGAGCTCAATACTGTTTTAATAAATAATAATAATAATAATTGCTATTATTTATTGTTTGTTTCATGCCAACAACTTTGCAATATGCAATATACTTTAAATAAATTGTCTCATTTAATCCTTCCAGTCATCCTATGCGATAGGGATGGGTCTTCCTATTTTCCAGTAAAGAAATGTAGGTGTACCCATAGATAGCTTTCTGAGCCTCAGTAGATCCCAACGAGTTGGAATTTTTATTAAAACTAATTTGTTCTCTCCTTCTTTTATCTTTGGCCTTCCTTCTCCTAAAAACTAAAAATTAAACAACACTGAAAAATCTGGTTCACGGAAACATAATTAACTTTCACTTGATGGAAGCAGAGAACTCACAAACTCAGAGCCTGACTCTCCAGTGACCCAGCATGCCAGTCTCATCTTTCAACCTGCCCTTCCTTCTTTCCTTCTTACACTCATATACACATGCACATGCACACACATGCTCACACACAGGCAAACACATATCCATATGCTCTCACATGCATGCACATATACACACACATGCACACACATGTACCCTGTGCACACACATGCATATACATACTTCATATCCCCATACTCAAAGTTTTCTCCAATCCCCCTCAGCAAGTCATCCCCTTACATCATGCAGAGTCATTGTATGCTCTGTCCCTGACATCAGAAATGTCCTCCACCTGATGCATTTCTGTTCAACGTCTTAGATCTCTCTTTAATATTTGCTTTTCAGTGAAACTATCTCTGTTTTCCTCCAGGAACTTGATCACCACCTTCTTTCCACCTGTCTCTTAAAACTCTCACAGTGGCTTTATTGGGTAATGGTGAGGAATGCTATGTTTACCTGACTGTCTCAGAGCTACCTGAGATCAGGACAAGACTATACTCACCTGGTGCAGAGCTTAACAAAGAGAAGATGCTTGCTAAACTCTTACTGATTTGATTGGTCTGGGATTGCATCTTCTAGGGTGTCCTCAGCCGCTCTTCAAGGTGGGAGCCATGGCTGCCGCTCCTCTCACCCTGGCTATTCAGAGGCTCAATCCATGCCTGATGGAGCTGTGCCACTTCTTCCAGCAATGCTTCTGCATGGGCCAGAGGAGTCCCAGGACAGAGGACATGAGGTAACCTGGCCCAGTGGCTTCTTTTCAGGTCCAATGTTTATCGTTTTTATTTTGTGTGGCTTTTCTGCAGGCCACAAGGCAGTCAGGCAATAAGCAATCCACAGACAGGTGGCAGGGGGTACCTCAAGGAAAGGGACTCTCCAGTGAGTCTTTTACTAGACAGTCACATCCTTGAGATTCGTGATGGAATCTCATTCATAGCTGGTCCCCAGAACCGAGTGCAGTGGCTGACACAATAAGTATAACTGAGTTTAGTTGAATTCAAGTTGAGCTGAGTTGAGTTGAGTTGAATTAGAGTTGTGATGAGTTGAGATGAGTTGAGCTGTGTTGAATTGAGATGACTTGAGCTGTGATGAGTTGAGATTACTGCAGTTGTGATGAGTTGAGTTGAATTAGAGTTGTGATGAGTTGAGATGAGTTGAGCTGTGTTGAATTGAGATGACTTGAGCTGTGATGAGTTGAGATTACTGCAGGTGTGATGAGTTGAGTTGAATTGAGTTGTGATGAGACGAATTGTATTGAGATGAGTTGAGTTGAGTTGAGTTGTAATGAGTTGAGATGAGCTGAGTTGTGTTGAGTTCAGTTGTAATGAGTTGAGATGAGCTGAGTTGTGTTGAGTTGGGATGACTTGAGTTGTATTAAGTTGAGATGACTTGAGTTGTGATGAGTTGAGCTGTGATGAGATGAGTTGAGCTGAGTTGTAATGAGTTGAGATGAGTTGAGCTGTGTTGAGTTTAGATTAATTAAGCTATATTGAGTTGTGTTGTGTTGAGTTAAGTTGACTTGTGTCATGTCAAGTGGAATTATGCAGAGGATCTTGAGTGGTTCTTTAATCCAAATGCCCTCAGTCTGGTGAGATTTGCTAGGAGAGAATAATTAGAAGATATGTCTATCTAAATTCCAGTTCTTTCATAAATCCCTACCAATCACCCACCAGCAAAATAAGTTGGAAAACTTAAACTAAAAAGCAGACCCTGTTTTATATTAAGAAGGTCTAGGCATGGACATTTTCTGTCCTACAATGCTGTTCTTTCTTCTGGGATTTATTCTTGGCTGTAAACCCAGAACTAAATTACCTAGATGAATACTCCTGCTCCAGTGGTCTGGCTACCAATCTCTCATGTCTTTAATGTTATTTTCAAAGACTACTCTCAAGATCCATTAGCTTTTAAAATTTCTGCCTCTGAGTCTCAAGCCCAGGTGGGCAGCCATTTTCCATCACCCCTTTCCAGTTGCAATCATTGATCCCCCAGTCAGTAGGAACATTTCCTCCACTCACAGAGGGCAATAAGCAAGACCCACAGGCCCAAAGCACAGGTTTATTCTTAAAAAAACTTGCACAACAATACTTTCTGTATTGTCTAGGATAAGCCCACTTTAGGATATCTTTTACTCACTAACTTAACCAACAACGTGTATTGAGTCTCTGCTGTATATCTGTGATGCTCTGTGCTAAGCCATGGGATCTAGAGATGAATCAGAAATAGCCTCAGAAACTGAGGCTTTCATAGTTGGAAGGAAGAAATGGTCATAAACACAAATCAAAATACAGTATTACAGGTAATAGAACCAAGTCACATAACCAGGCAAAAACCTGTTAATCATATCCCGTTGGAAAATATCACATTTGAAAACATTCATATTGCAAATAATGGCTGAATGAATAAATGAAAAAGGCATACATTTTCAGAGAGAAGTTTGAGTTTAAATTTAGAGCAATGAAGCACCTGTTTGCTTGGGCTTGTCCCTTCTTTTCTGTGTATTTTCACTGAAGAGTAAATTTTTCCATAAACTCATACACTGAATATAGGCCAAGAATACTAGAGTAGGGGAGGTGGCATTACTTAGTATGTTTGTTGAACATAGGCTCTGTGATTAAAAAAAAAAAAAAACACTGGTGGGAAAGTTGGCAATGTAAAAAGACAAATTTCAAAGCAGCTGCCAAGTGCTGTAGCAGGCTTGAATAACATGCTATGGGATCCCAGGAGAAATAATTAATAGGGTTTTATGGAGGAATAGGAATTTCCCAGGCAAAAGAAATAGTACCTGCAAAGGTGGAGTGACGGGCAGCCTGAAGCATCTAAGGACTACTGAGATGTTCAATGTAGCTGCAGCAAAGATAGGAGACCAAGTCTCTGGCATGTCCCTATTCAGGACTACCTTGCCTTTTAAGCACCTGGGTCACCTATTATATGGTCTCTTTGACTTTCACTCTAGAGCTCCATCTGTCCCTTCTCCAAGCTTTCTACTCTCTTCTTGTTCAGAGTAAAAACAGAATTCTTGAAGTCCAGCCCTGTAAATCCTGTCCATTTTTAAACTGAGATACTCTAAACTCCCATTCTCTTCACATCATCTCCCTCCCAGGGTCATCTCTTGAAATCTTTCTTATTTAGGGCCCCCAGAACCATTCTTGGGGCACACTCCTTGGAGGATAACAAAGCCACAGTCCCTGGTGACTTACAAACTTTGCTACCTCAGGCCCCACTCAAGTGTCCATGGCTCCTCCTCTATTCAGGCTGCTGCTGACTCCACAGTGCGTGCAGCAGCTCTGGTATGCTAGGAATTTAGATAGACATACCTACAAGGGGCTGGTGTGATAATGGGTGCTTCAACACTAGTTTCAGCACATCCTAACCATGGCGTTGCTGCTTAAGTCTGCCCTAAAGAACAGAAGCTGAACAAAATAGGCCATCTTAACAACTGATTTTCTTCTAACCATCTAGCCTTTTCCACAAGGAAATGCCTTCTCCAGTCCATGTGAGGAATATATATTCTTGTTATGAACAGGACTTTGACTCCATCCCCTGTAAAGTAATAACCATGGGCATTTATCTATTGCTCGTTTACCACTTGTAGGCAATGCCTCTGCCAGAAAACTTGGGGATGGGACATGTCGTGTTTAAATAGTTTCTCTCCTGATCATACAGGCAAGTTTCCCATTCATCCTGAGAGCCGTGTACCCTCTCAGAGTGAATTCAGGCACGGAATGGCAGCTTTTTGGCTCATGAAGGTGTGGGTCATGTTTCTGTGGTTGCTGCAACTTAATTCCTGGTCTCACACTTGGCAGTTTCACAGAGCATCTTAGTTTGGATGATGTTGTCCATGTAGCAATATGAACTTCTGAAGCAGATCATGTCCCAAAGTTGCTTGATATCTTCTATCACAGAAGCTTTCTAAGAAGTTTTGTTGCTGTTGTTAGAAAGTACGACTCGCAGATTGTTACACTAGCTAAGAAGGAATTGTATTCGACCATAGAACCAGGGCCCCCAAAGCTAGTAGGTAGCTTAGTGTGCTATAGAGAGGGCAGGGCTTGAAGCCAGCAGGCCTGGGTTTAAATTTAGTCTCTGCCACTTACAAGCTATGTGGTCTTGAGCTAGTCATTCAATCTCTGAACCTCAGTTTGTTCATCTGCAAAATGGGTATAGTCCTGCCTACATTCTAGGCCACATGTTGCACAACTCCAGGGGCACCATTCATATAAAAGAGTAGCAGCATTATTACTTATATGGACAGTGTTGTGAGAACAAAATGAAATGAAATGAAATGAAATAATGTCTCGAATTGTTCCTGCACGGTACCTGGAATGCTGCGCTCGGTGGTTGCTGATTAAGACACTGTTGTGCTTGCTGTCTTGTCCACTCCCACAGCCGAGTGGGAATCCCATTGCTAGCACACTTGACGTGTTGTAACTGTGCTAACCAGATGTCTAGTGGCCATGTCAGCTGCTGAGTTGGCCAACCTTGACATCCCATCTCTGGAACTTTTGAAAGGTCTCCATAAGAGTACAGGTTGTAGGCTCACAAAAAGCATCCTGGATGTGTTCACCACTCACCTCTTCACACTTGGTTCCATTTCCTGCCCTTTCTCTAGTTGGCTCTTTAATGAAAGGGGACTGACTTGTGCAAACTACATTTCCCAGAACACGTTGCCTGTGAATTCCTGTGAATTCATCCCGTAGAAGATACTGAGAGGAGGTTGGAAGGCAGTAGAAGGGAGAAACCAGGGAATTTCTCCCCCTGCCTTTCTGCTTTGGGCAATATTTCCAGGAGTGGCTCTATCTCCTCTGTGGTTCCGGTTTCCACAAGGACTCCTCATGACAGCCTCAGCTCTGTGGTCCCAGCTGCCACCAGAGGCCATTGCCCTCTGTGCTTTGGCCACAATACTTTCTCCGTCCGTCCCTTTAGGCCTAGCAACTCCCTGTGGCTGCTAATGTGGGGTTAACACACCTTCCCCTATTGGTTCTTTCAGCCCTTTATCACTGATTCACCATATTAAAGTCCCTCTATAGAACCACCAAGTCCTGTTTTCCTGGCAGGGTCCTGACTCAAATATTGATCTTATTGCCCACCAGAATGCCAGTGTGTTGCGGCAGAAAGTAGTCACCTGGGTTAAAATCCAACACTACCACCAGAAAGCCCTTGGGGAAGTCATTTAATCTCTGTGCCTCAGTTGCCTCAGCTTTGCACTTTCCTATAAATTGGGGGTGATAGGCCTTGGAAAATCTCTGCCACAAGCTTGACTTGAGCAATCAGTTGCACAAGTCTCTAGGGTGTACTAGAATCACAGAATGATAGAGACGGAAGAGAAATTAGAGAATGTTTAGCCCAACCTCCTCACATATCAGGTGAGAGATTGAAAGAGAAGTGAATTCCCAGAGTCATACAATGAGCTAGTTGGCACAGCCTGCACTGAAAACTCTTCTTGCTATTAATTGGGTGAGTGATCTTTTCACCACAGCCCTTTGATGCAGCTCCTGCCGCCCCTAACCAAGAACAGAATGTTATTTTGCAAAGTGTTTACCGCACTAGTAATGATAGCAGCACTCCACTCTCTCTCTCTTCATCTCCCACTAAAATAAATAAGTAAACAAACAGACAAGTGTCACCATGTATTGAGCACCTCTTGTATGCTGGGTACTGTTCAGGAACTTTACATATGTTATCTTATCCTCATATAACCTGCGAGTATAGGTTCTATCATTGCCTTTCATTTATATATGAGAAAATTAAGTCCAGAGAATTAAGTTATCACCCTGAAGTCATGCATCCTAGTACGTAGTGGGGCTAGGGCTAAAAATAAGTCTTGCTGGCCCCAAAGTCTGAACTTCTTCCTACCCAGCCTTCTTTCCTATCTCTCCTCTGACACCCTTTAAAGATGGGCAGAGGGTTCCTTGCTGTGAATAATTGGCCATATAGTTCATGTTTATGTGCTTACCTTTAAAACTCTGGTTGTCTTCTAATAGCCATCACAGGATAGTCATTGCTCCTTGCTCTGATTTAAATCTTTAGATACTGTCTTGAAAACTATTCCTGGTTTCTGAAGAATGCAACATATATCTGTCAGAGGGTGAAAAGGGTGTCCCACTCGCACAGTAAGTACACAGCTTGACTATGTTGTAATTTTGCAGTGAATGCATTACACAAAAGGGTCCCGTAACTCCGAGTGATTCCCAGATGTCCTCGAAATGCTGTAGCTCATCTAGACCTCATTAATTTGGGCAAAGAGCATCTAGGATTTTTCTTATTCTTTCTCAGCTAACAGTGTGATGTTTGCAATAAGGTCAAGGGAAAAACACAGCAGGAGTCAGCCTGACCAAGCATTGTTGCTCTCTGTGTAAATTCGGGCAAATCTCTTAGCCACAGAGCTCCCACATAAGCTAAAAAGACAAATAAAAATAAAACAAAGGACAGCCCCCATACAAATACTGAAATTATTGACCGAAGGAAAAATGCATACAAATAATTCATGCAAAAGAAGGCACCGTGAAGTACTAGAATGTATGTTTCATTATGGTAACTCTCTTCTTGTCCCTGGTAGCTTCAAGGCTTCATTTATTCCCAGATATTCCAGGTATCAGCTTTGTTTTTTTCTCTCACCTCTGCAAACAAAGTCCCAAAACCAATAGTTTGGCCATTTTATCATGCCATCTACCTGAACTACCTCAAGGGACTCTGGTCTTCTAAATATCATGGCATTACATTAAACTGTGTGGAAAATCCCTTCTTACTATAACCCAAATATAAGCCGGGTGCTCATAGGGCTCAGTCTTGGCAATGCTTTACATTTGAACAAGCAAACAAAACAGTGTATGTAACAACCCAATATTTCCATTTGTGTCCTGAAGAATACCAGCTGGGATACCTGGGATCCATGTCAACACTTCTTAGAAACCCTTCTTATTCTTTCTACCCTCCACTATTTCTCACTTCTCACAAGCCATCATCTTAAAACTTCTCTTTTTATTTCATTTTTCAACTTATCACTCAGTAGCTCTCCTAAAATTAGGCTTTCTGGCTCTTCTCTGTGTTTCCATTTACCTCTTCTGCTTATTTTGCTTTCCTTCTGCCTCCATTATTTTTTTGTTTCCCAAACACAGGGTCCTTGTTTCTTATGCAAGCCCACCATCTCACCTTTCCTGCCTTCTCTTTCTATCATCACCTTCATCCTGCATTATATGACCAAAAAAAAAGAAAAAATACAGGCATTAGGAATGGAGATGGGGGTTGGTCAGAAATCAAAGACAGAAATCCCTTTATCTGGTATAAGGAGAGGAAATAGGAAATCTTGCAAACACATAATTCAATAGTTCTTTTGTCCTTGCCACATTAAAGTCTCTGTGCACACAACATGTTACATTTACTGAACAACTTATTAAGGAGTTTAAATTAGCCTCGTACAAGCTGTAGAGATGCGTTAGATACAGCTGGGTTTTGGAAAAGAGCACTGGGCAGTGAATGGAGAAATAGGGGCTGCTCCGCACTAGAGTTTGCTGCTAACTAGCAATGGGGTCTTGCACGAGTCCTTTCCACCCTCTGAGGCTCACCCCTAGTGACCCCTGTCCAGTGCCCTGCCCCACACTTGCTCTCCAGAAGAGCCTAGACCATTGTTGGTGCCGACAGGGTTTAATTTATGTCTCTACAGTGTTTATGTCTCAGTACCTTGAGTTCCTTCTTCTTCTGCTTTTTTTTTCAGCCTTAAAGCAAAAATGCCTTGAGAATATCTGCAAGTCTGTGTGAGACCTTGAAAATAACACTAGGGCATAATAATGACTTCAGGGAATACACTATCACCCTGGCACTTCTCCCAAGTGGGCTACATTTGAAGAATTCACCCAGGCTCCAACTAGATCATCAATTAATTGAAAGTGGTTATTCTTGGAAGTAGCATTTTCCCCCTCCTGTGAATATGTGCAAAACATTGAAGGTAGAAGGTTTCTTGTTAGAGGCCTCACAATTAATACAGTAACGCCGGACTCCCTGCCTGCTTCAAAGTCATGGAAATCTAGTGTTCATGCTCAAGAAACTCCTACAATGCTTGAGGCAACCCTGACAATTTAAAAACTGGGGATGTGTGGGCACCCTAGCCTGAACCAGTTCAGTCACAGAGACTCTGACATAATACCTGAGGTGACTTAAACTTGAGACTTTTGAAAGACAACAAAAGCATAAATTAAAATTGAATTCATACTGTAGAGAGATTCACATATACTGTTTCTATACAGTTAACTAAAACATGTACAACCAATCAGATCTGCCTTAGTATGGGAACTATATAATCTTCCAAGCCCCCTTAAGTGGGCAATAATGAAAACTTTATCATTAGGAGGAGGTTTAGAGAGTTCTTTCAATTGACATCTTGTCTTGATTCCTCTTCTGTGTGACCCACTGGATTCAGAGGTCCCCATGGGCACCCTCAGGTTCAATGATTCACGAGTAGAACTCAGAGGTTGGGAAAACTGTTATATGCACGTTTAGCATTTATTACAGCAAAAGAATGCAGATGAAAAGCAGCAAAGGTGAGAGGCACCTCTAGAGAGATTCCAACAGAGCCCAGGCACAAGCTTTCAGTGGGGTTGCACAGTCAGCATCTAATCCTCCCAGCAACAATGTTTATTTATTTTTTTTTTGAGACGGAGTCTCGCTCTGTCGCCCAGGCTGGAGTGCAGTGGCCGGATCTCAGCTCACTGCAAGCTCCGCCTCCCGGGTTCACACCATTCTCCGGCCTCAGCCTCCCGAGTAGCTGGGACTACAGGCGCCCGCCACCTCGCCCGGCTAGTTTTTTGTATTTCTTAATAGAGACGGGGTTTCACCGTGTTAGCCAGGATGGTCTCGATCTCCTGACCTCGTGATCCGCCCGTCTCGGCCTCCCAAAGTGCTGGGATTACAGGCTTGAGCCACCGCGCCCGGCCTAACAATGTTTAACAACACATATGGAGTATTGTCAGCCAGGAAAGCTCATCCAAGTTTTGGTGTCCAGGGGATATGTGGGGGTATGGAGTACGTATGGAGTGCCTTCATGGCCTGCATGGCTAAATTTAGTTATTCAGTCTCCAGTCCTTCTAGAGGTCAAGCTGGTACTGCATGACCTAAGGCCCTGCCATAAA